ATCAAAGATGGGGCCCCGGTGTTCTTTGTCAGCTGTCAGACTGGTACCAGGGCTCCATCCCTACTTGAAAATATCAGACCAATCAACATGCAGTTAAAAGAATTGTTGCACTTCATTCCACTATTTGGGACTTGCACTCGCCAAGAATAAAGAAGAATCAAAATTCTGTTGAACTCATCCTACTTTGGACATCACCTTTTCGATCTCCTGCCTTCTGGTCAGCACGACAAAACACTGCACACCTAAACCACCTGACAATCTGGCAGCTTCTTTCTCCTTTCCATGAAAGCAAATAATTGACTCGTATGATCAATGTGACACATTGTTTTGCACGCTTCAGTTGTGTTGCCTTTATCGCATTTGTTGTTGTAGCATCGTCACTTGCATAATGTTGCCCAGTAAAGATGATTTTGACTACTTGGGTTCTATTTTTGTAGAAAGTGCAAGTATGCTCGGGTGTAAAATATGGCGCATCGTGATTTTGGTCGAGCTTACCGTGTTTGGGAATTTTGTGGAACACCGTACGCTTCGCTGGGCAGCCCAGGGGACTGAGACTGTTTTCTTTTACAGACCCCTGGCCCACGTGATAATTTGGTGGCTGAAAGTAGACTAAACTTTAGACCAGTTCAAAAAGTTGTGGACACTGGTGGTGGAGCGCGATTTTGTTGGATTTGATTGTTGTGCAGGCAGACAAGTTGTGTTTTCACACTTGGACGCACTGGTGGAAGGCGGTCTCCGGTGCCCGCTTCACAGCGGCCAACTTTACATCATCCGCAAGTGGGGATCCTCTTGCACTTCCTTATAAACGTACTTTGCACATGGCGATCTCCTGCATGGACTCCAGTGAGTCCGTTTATGCTTCGGCCATGGAGACCACACCTCTCCAGCGTTGAATTTAAAGGGAATGTGAGGAGAGTTGTTTCATTGTCCTTGAATCAAGTTGGCTGTGTTCACACCCGTTTCATGAAAATACCAAAAGAAAGAAAATTACACCCATGGGCACAGTTAGTCCACATTTGGCGCAAGATTTGTGCTGGGCATGAAACTAGGACCCTATGATTTTGTTCACCAATTTCTGATGTACTTTAGGCTACAGTTGCTATTGTCACCATGTAACAAAACAAAACAAATGCGCATGCCGAAGGTTTGTCCTCCCAAATTTTAATCTAAACCATCTTTTGAATATCCTGTGTTTACATATATATGGGTTTCTAATCTAATGTAAAATATGTCAGTATGTTATTTTTGTGGTAGTTAAGTGTTGTTAAAAAAAAAAAAACCCAACAATAGCACTTTGATCCACATGGATGTGCAATTGCGTGTTAGAAATCACACAACGTACATTCTCATACTATCACAATATTGTGCTAACTGCCAACCAGATAATTCTGGAATACCCAGAAGTATGTATTTTGTGTACACAAATGGAAACAACACTGTTTTAAAAAAAAAAGAGTTTTTAATTTCAAATGTTCTTATGTAAATAGCCTGAAAAACATCTCCCTTGATCCCTTGGTAACGGCATCTTTATTTGAAGATGACAGAGCATTCCATTGTGCTGAAACCATTCACAATAAAGGATAAGAAGAAACATTATGGTGGAACAAGTTCATCATACTTTAAATAGGGATTAAATTAATTATGTGATCATTACTGTGATGCTCAGCTCATAAATTAAGGTACAGTACTAACCACTTTGCCTGTTGGCATTCATCCTTGAGCACAGAAAATCCGTGCGGGGTGAAATTGTTATGGGTTAATCACAATTATGTGTGTGAGTGCGTGTGCGTGTGTTTGTTCAAACAGGCTGATAAGCTCAAGTGTGCATGTGAATACCTGTTATTGAGATGCTGTCTTTATTATGTAGGCAAAGTAGGCGCAATACTGACTCCTATGTCTGCTTTATGACATAAACACATGACTAATGTGAAGCTTTGACTTACTTTCTAATTAGTGGCGTTTGTCTTTCCTGATGCCCCCATACCTGCTTCAGGGTTGGAATACTCATATTCCTTCTGCGACCGTTTCTACACGATAGACTATTTACATTTTCTTCTCTTGGGTATTTGTCTATGGTCACGAGCTATAGGTCGTGACTGAAAAAACGAGATCCCGCATACAAACGGCCAAAATGAGTTTTCTCTGCAGGGTGTTCGGGCTCTCCCTTAGAGATAAGGTGAGAAGTTCGGTCATCTGGGAGGGGCTCAGAGTCGAGCTGCTTCTCCTCCACATCGAGAGGAGCCAGAAGAGGTGGCTCGGGCATTTGATTAGGATGCCTCCAGAACGCCTCCCTGGTGAGGTGTTCCGGGTATGTCCCACCGGCAGGAGGCCCCGGGGACGACCCAGGACACGCTGGAGAGTCTATGTCACCTAGCTGGCCTGGGAACGCCTCGGGATCCTCCGGGAAGAGCTAGAAGTGGCTGGGGAGAGGGAAGTCTGGGCTTCCCTGCTAAAACTGCTGCCCCCGCGACCCGACCCCGGATGAGCGGTAGAAGATGGATGGATGGATGGATGGATGGATGGATGGATGGATGGATGGATGGATGGATGGGTATTTGTCAAATAGAATTGTAAACATTTAAGACAGTGAAAACACCCCCCCCACCCATAGGAAATGTTGAATCAAAATCAAGTCAAAATCAAGAAGCCTTTATTCACTAAAATACAAAATAACAGAAGGTAAGAAGCAGAAAATGACAGTTGACATCCAACAGTTCTGTCAAAATAATTGAACCAACCGCTAACAATTTAGCTAAGCTAACCTTTACTTTTCCCCACTGATGTCAAAACTAAAGGATAGGTGGTACCATAGTGTTGAGTTGTCGCTTTAATTTCACAGTATTTGCTGACCAATTTACAGCACTAAATGCTCACTGGCAACTTGTCATGGCACTCTGGGTTAAGATCACCATTGACAAACTCTCCATCTGATTCACTGTAGAAAATTGTAAGCACCATTTGGACAAAGTCAGTGGAGTATACGCTGTACTCTTCATGCTCATCAATAGTCCTATGGCACTTTATATGAACGACCAAGAGCGTTTACCATGCTGGCTACTTGGCTTGAGAAATATTGTTTGCTGACAATCTGCAGTCTTTTTGTCATTATTTGGTTGCCAAGCTAACCAGTGATGATCACGTAATAATCCTCCTCCTGGTTATTAAGACAAAAGAGAAATCTATTTTCTAGTTTGACACTTTTTATGGTAACAGAGACTGCTGGATACTAAACAGGCAGACAGACAGACGGGACAGACACACACACACACACACACACACACACACACACACACACACACACACACACACACACACACACACACACACACACATACACGATATCCCTTTAAAACTGTACTTATTCTTAAAAACTCTCAGTGGAAAATTACCACAAGCCTTTTATGGAAATTGTATTGGGGAGCCAGAAAAGTAGTCTCATAAGTTCTCATTTTCATTGCATTTGTGTGTTTCCCAGCCTGAGAAGCACAACAAAAACAGAATAAAATCCAACATGTTAACTTGTTTATTTAGCCTGCTGTCAGACAGAAGAGACACTCTAAATATTTGTGGGGGGGGAAAAAGTGTTTTGATTCCAGCATATTGAGAAGGCAAACAAGAAACCATTTTTTTTATTGCAGTGGAACAAGAGGCAGGCAGGTCTTGTATAGTGCAAAAAAAAATGTTGTGTTGGTTTTGCAGATAAGTGATCTGCGTCTTGCTGCCAAAACTAAACAAATTCCATTTCAGACGACTCACCTTTCGTGGCTTGTCTTTATCTCCTCATCTATCTCGACCGCAATGATTTGACGTTTGGTTGAAAGGCTGCTTACCGTGAATGCAATTGGAATTCATTCAGGCTCTCGTTTGACATCAACCAAAATGTACAGTGTCGTGCATGTAAATGTTGTGTCCAGATATCTTGGAACATTTCATGTCTGGCTAATGGAGGCTGTGCAGTAACGTGTCACAAGTGAGCTGTTTCATATAAGTACACAAATTGGAAAGTAAATTAACAATATTAAATCATATGAAGCCTGGGCATGCAGTACAAACTATTACAATGTTCTTACGTTAGTATAAGCAAATGTGGACAGTCCGCCACACTTACGTTTTTTTTTTTTTTTTTTTTTAAACCGTCTTGCTCAAGGAACATTCCACATTCTAAGAAATCATTCACTTTGTTTACATTTGTCTGAGGCTCTTCTGGAAAATAGGATTTGACCAAGTGAAATATCTGGAGGAAATGGGTTAGGAGTACAGTAATGGACTGTTTTGAAAAGACCGAACTTACGGGTAAATTGATAAATCAAAAGGCTGCATCTCATGAAGTGCAAAGAATTTGTGCACGGGATAGAATTAGAATTAAATTATGATAATGAACTAAACTGCAGGCTATGTGTTGACACAAAGTGGTATCAGGTAAGTCCAACCAGATATTTTTCTTCTCCTGTTGGGAGAAAAAGGGTGGCTTCTGTTGTTATTGTGGATGATTCATTTCCAACAATATCTTCCTGTAAATGTAATCTTAAAGCATATTTATTCTTACTCGCTTTTAATGTTTTGGGTTGTTTTCTTATTGTATTGTTTGGTTGTTTTAAAACATATTTTTTCATGTGTTGCCATTTTGCTTTTTTATCCTGAAGCACACTGTGTTTATGCTTGCCATATGAAATGTGCTCTCCAAAAAAAAAAAAAAATGACATTGACATTGGGTGGTTAAATGAAGTGGAGGCATGGAAAAAAATCAATTCGCCATATTGTGTACAGCTCTTCACATGTTTCAAATGTAACTTTAAAAGCCACTTTGTGCTGTTTGGAAAAGGCCGAGCTCAAATAATGCAAATTAAGAGCGCTTTTCTGCCGTGTTGGGAATCAAGTTTTATTCTTCTAAGAAATGAGATCTAGTTCGCTAAACCTGCAACATTTTCTTCAATTTTATTTTATTTTTTTTAACGGTTCCTCCTTTGCAAACCCAAGGTAATTTTACCTTCTCGTTGCAGGTTTCTGACAACCAGAGAGTGGATCCATTGGGATCATGGATGGACTTTGTCAAGCGACCAGTTGGCAACTTCCCAGCAAAATGTCGCAAAAGGAAAAGACCTCTGGTAAACCCAGAAGATGGCAGAGAATGTCATAGTGTTTAAAAAAAAAAGAAAAAAAAAAAAGAAAAAAAAACACAGCCTTTCGATCAAGCAATCAAGTTTGCTTGTCTTTAATCACTTGTCCACATGTCATATGATGCAAGACGATCAAACTGAAAGATTGGAATTTACAGATCCATTCCACAACACTGTTTGGCATTGGCGCATCGAGGACAGTGGTAGGCTACCCAAAAGGTGGAACTAGACACAAATTCCAGAATGGGAATACAATACAATACAATAC